ATGAAATGGCGTGACTATTTTCGAGAGTAACTATGACATGATCCACTCTGAACTGTCAGCGGAATCTCTCTCACCCCGCCCCTTCCCCCCAAGGAAGTTCACTACATCATAGTGTCAAAAGGCACTGGAACGTCTGTGAGGAAACAAAGTTCTATTCTGATACCACCTTGTGACTTAACAATGGAAGGATGGATCTACAGAGACCTCTAGGGCTGGGCACGGATTATTATAAAGGATGTCATTACCATGGTAGCAGGAAAGAAAAATCCCAAAAGAAGGCAGAAGTCAGATTCGAATTATCGCTGCCGAAAAAAACAACGGGACGCATAACCCTTATTCAAAAACGTAAAACTGAGCATTTCGTTACTGCCGATGAAACTTCGCGCATCTCGCGTCCTGTAATGACATTTTCCTTAAACTACATGGTATACAATCAGCAGATATAGCTACTACAGGGGCTCATTCATAGTGTGTTGGTGTCTGTTCACTTACGACAGTTGCAACAGCAGTGATGTGCACAAATCATGCTGCGATGTTACATCACCATCATAGCTCACCTTAATCCCGGTTCATAACTCACAGGGTGGAATGGATCGGAAAATCACTACACTTCCCTGCATGAGAGACCCTCCATTCAGAGTGGTCCCACTGCGCTGTAAGACACGGGAATGGGTTGTGTTGCACCCAGCTCTTCCATCTCGTTCAGGATGGGAGCCTGCCCAAATATCGGGGGAAAGGATTTTGAGAAATCTTTTGTGTTCTATACATATGCTTCACATACACATTTTCCTCAGCCAAACTGTGACAATAATATGGCCTATCAAAATAATCGATACCTACGTGCTAAGCATTCAAAATATACCTAAGTGAGCAGCGCTTTGGGGTCCAAACCAATGAGGTTGCAGTAACGTATGCTTTCTGGCAATCGAGATAGCATCACTGCCAAAGCAACACCAGTGGTTTAGGTCAGAATGTTCAAAAAACACCGGTACACAAAGATCCGTATTTTTCACTGCCAAACCTCTCCCCAGCTCCATCCCTCTTGGTTTAGGCTGTAGCGCGCCATATTCGTGTGCGACTTCTCATTTAACACGAGCTACTTCTCCGTCGACCATTGGTACATCGGTCGATCGAATCAAGCTGACATCGAATGGCCATTTGTAACTGATACAATTGCTCACAGCATGCAGATGGCTTATCGTCTTTGGCCGCAATTGGGGCCGACATCTGGCGTAAATTCTTCCAACAACTTAGCGCATGTCGGTAGTCCATGCTTTGTAACAGGCGCACCTGACCTAGTGCATACATTGTCCCATCTTCATCAGTACGGTAATCCGTACTCTCTTCCGTCAAACGGCGTAAGAAGTTTGCTTTTGCGTCGCTGCTACGCTCCGCTGCCGACATTTAGGCCAGACTTCAACCAGTGATGTGCAGTTTCCAAACAATTTATACATTCCGCAGCCCGATACAAATTGAATGAAGTGAAGAGGGACATATATTTTGATCAAATGGTATTGCTGGCATCGATGGCTACCAGACAGCTTGTTCGCAACTTATCTACAAAAATCATGGCATCACTTTCAGCCATGCGTCTCTTATAGTAATGATTGGGCCAACCTGCGATTACTGGCTACAGATATTCGCTTATACAACACGTAACAGCTGGGCCGGGCCAAGTCATAATGAGCTCATTATTCCAGCAATACTCGGTCAGTCTGTGACTTTGCTCAAACAAACAGCATGCACGTCGTTTCGATTTCCAATTACGGTGCATACCGGCTATTTGACTGCGGTTTAGTGATCAAGACGAGTGAAAATGTGTTCATGGCTAGTAAGTGTTACACGTTCCAACCGCAAAACGACAAACACTAAACGAGTCTGGCCAAGCTCTGCCCTCAACAGGGCAGACACGCACGACATCTCCCCTCCCTCCCCCCAACCCCCGTTCGACTATGGCCAGCGGTATGGTCGTGTCCGCTTCAGGCCGGTCCGACCACGGCCGGTGGCATGGCCTTGTTGGCTTCAGCCTGCCGCGAAATTGGAGGGTCGAAAGTCTGCATTCAGTTCAGCCTGCCGCGAAATTGAAGGGCCCAAAGTCTGCATGCAGTCCAGGGCGAAAACGATTAAGGTGCTTCACAGCTTGTGTGCAGCTGATTCTGCACTGGCTGGCTTCCAGCCCTCACGACCTTGGCCTATGTATTTTGATCTATTCCCAACTACTTCAATATAATAAAGTCACAACTCCCACTTCAAAACATCATAGCAGCTACAGCTGGCAGCAGAAAAGAAAAAACACTGGCAGCATAATAGACTGTCGGGACAATACGTTGTTGTCTTGGTTACATCCTAACCCACGCACGTTGTTTGATTACAAGTTGTTTGCCTCCATTATTTTCTTAACTGCCTAGATACTGCTGTGTGGTTTTACAAACCACATAAAAACAATTTCAAAAGCATGCAGCACGTACGCTCAGCTGGAAACTACAAACAAGCATATCCAGCTTACCAATCTCACAACGTCGATTATGACGTCAAAAGGGACCTTGAACTACTTTTATGCATGACCACAAAAATATTGATCTTTCACTTAAACTGGACCAAACAGGAATGTTGACTGGACGTTCTCCACCATACACGTAGTGAAGTAACAGATCACTAAGCCACTGAGCGGCGTCATGAGAAATAGTAAGGTGTAACTGACTCATTAAATCGCCTTTGGGAGTCGTAAATGTTGCAAAGCTGCATCAAAAAGTCATGTGTCACTTTCAGCCTATGCATGGTGACCTTGACATTATGGCATGTCTACCGCATCACGTAGAGAAACAGGTTGCTAAAACATGGAAAATGTCTGTGCGCATTTGCAGCAAGCGGTCGAATGTTCGTAAAATGAGAATCGTACCACGTGTTCCGAATTTCTGTCCAATGATAATCCACGAAGCATAGCCAACCTGTAATAAAAAAAAAACAGCAGGACGCGGGAGAACACCTAAAACAAAGCAAAGATAACCTGTGCGTGCACCTGTAGCCACTGCGCAAATGTGATGAGATATTGATCATGGCCATTGTAAAACGTCCACGACCGAGTCCAACAGCCCGGTTGGTCCGAAATGGAGCAATGCGTTATGGCGTCACATTACAACGTACATGACAGCGGCCAACCAAAAAACTCTGTCTGACTCATCAGATAGGGTCGACGCAACATGGCCAGGTTCTGGTGGTCTGCGCAGCTCCAAGAATAGCGGCCTTCATTCATAACCTTCGATGTGTCGGCACGAGTGCCTTATTCGTTTCATAACATGCGTTTTTGTGGGCGTCGTTTTTCGTGAGTCGCGTTTATAGCTAAGGACAAAAACAATGGTCTATTACGCAGCAAAAGCTGAAAGACCGAATTGCGTGCAATGAATAACCCGGGACCCAGTTCACTCATGGAGAACACGACGATGTTTCCAAGAACCGATGGCTGACCAAACTGCCGCCGAGGAGCTTAGGAAAGGTCGCGTTTCCCGAACAGCAGCAGTTATATATATATATATATATATATATATATATATATAAATGTATATATATATAAATGTATATATATATAGTATATATATATATATATATATACAATGTTGTTACAACTGTATGAGGATAGCCTAAGTTTAGGAAACCATGCAGGTTGGGAAAACTATGCCTTCTGACATTTAAGTTCGGTGTATGTTTGATCACAACTACCTCATCCATTAAAACCCAACGTCTTGAAGTTAAACTATCACGACAGTGAATTCCCATGAAGTGAGCATATTTCGTTTCAGTACAATCGGTCATATTGAGCAGGTGCGGTACGGGTTATTGCGCCTGTCAGCGGGAGTTTATAAGATCACGTAGCTGACACAATTTAACTGGCATACATTCGTTTTTCAACTGGGCGAACACCACTTTAGATCGTGCCGGAATGGTGCACTTTGGAACAGATTTGTATAACTCATGTGAGATAGTGATAAAAAGCGCATTGTAGTATGCGATGGTATTCGCTTCACAGCGGGTGTCACAGACAAGTATAAAGCGGTAAGATAAGGTGTTGTTATAAGCCGCTTTTTATTTCGCAAAGCGAAAGAGGCGATCAAAGACGCACTCTCAAATGGTAGCTGGGCCCGGGACACCCGTATACACTACAGATAGACGCAATACGAATGAAAGCCATAGACTATCAAATGATTTTTTAAAAACCCGTAACACTCTCATCCTGAGCACAACTACATGGAAACATAAAAATTAGGGAAATTTGAATAAATGGATTCCTTAACGGTTACTTTTGGGCGTTTTTTTTTTTGCTTCTTTTTTATGGGTTTTCGGGTGCGCCAACTGCAGTGATCCTTTGGCGCCCAGCGCATCTTTTCATGATGGGAGACTAAGCATTACTAATAATAAACGGGTAGGCACTGTGCGAGATAATGGGCCACATCATAGACGCTTGGGCTAATCATAAACCTCCGCATGCTACGGCTTCCCGCTCGGCTAGCTTCTACTGTAACAGCACGACTGGTGTTAAACACACCGGTCCTACGAGGCTATCTGTACTGTCAGCCCTGGAACCGCGCAGCTCACTCAACGTCGTGCGGGCTTCCAGTTTTGCAACCAATTCACGACAGAACAAGTTCACATACCATGAAGTCGCGGGCATCACTGGTCTAAGTTGAGAGAACAGCAATAAAAATGAAGCAGCCACCTCCTTCACTGCCCAAACAGCGTTCGTAACAGGTGTGTCCCTTCCATGTTCTGTATCTCAAGAGGCTTTCTTAAACCACTTTCACCGATACTGTCGGCTGCTCTCGTGCAAAAGACATCCAGCTACATCCAACGGTTCGTGGCCTGGAGAACAACTATCTCGCTTTTTGGAGAGGGGAGATGAGACAGGAGGGAGGAGGGGGAGAGAGGGAGAGGCAGAGAGAGAGAGGGGGGCATCATTCGGATAAGGGAGCAGGTGTTGTCTTCGGCAGCTTGCGAGAGGAACTGACCTGTGGTTGAGTACCGGAAGTTCTGCACGAACTTCAGACACTCCTCTAAGCCCGCGAAGATGGTGAACTCCCCGTGGAACGGGTTCTTGCGGAAGAACAAGTTGAACACGGCATGTTCCTTAGTCTTCCCCGCTTTCCAGTACGCGTACGCCATGGTGATTTGGTAAAGATCTGAAATTCGAACGAGAGATCAGAATAGCAATGTCATCGATAGGGGCACACAGGGCATTTACGTATCCTACATACATCATAATTTGCACATATACACCAGTCATGGTTGCCAGCATGGTCGTGTGTAATTAGTTGTGTGTGTACAGAACGCGAGTGCAAGGCGGCCGGAAAAGCACTACAACGCGACTCGATCGCCACTCGATCACATCCCACACCTGTCTCACTTCGCACATACAATAGCAGGACCATGCACGCCCAGGCGTGACACCCGTTGCATCACGGGGGTTAGCCAGTGCGGCAGTACGGACCCAACGCACATCTACATCCTGATGTTGATGACCTGATGCAAGTCACCAACTGTGTCCACTTCAAGGGCGCCGCTTCAAGCTCGTCACGCCAGGCGCACGCAAACGACGGAACATAGAGTGAAAGCTCGCGGGTACCAACGGAAGACGCGTGTCCCTGTTTTAATGCTTAACGCAGTCACACTGGCGGCAGCTTGCGAGCAGAGATAACGATTTAAGTGGAAATAAAAGCTGAATGACCGTGGGAGCCATCGCCTCAAATGCAAGGCAGACAGTGCTCTGGTTTCC